ACACAATCACATTGTATTAGTATATTAGTACTAAATAAGTGACTAATCAAAGAGATCAGAAAATAATAAAATAATCATTTGAGAGAGAGAGAGAGAGAGAGAGAGAGAGAGAGAGAGAGAATAAACAACACCCACATAACAATCATCTACACTAAAAGAAATCAATCATAAACCAAATTAATTATCAGACGTAAACTCCAAATTAGTAGGAAATCACACTCAAATTTGCGAACCCAACTCACACTAAATTCCAACCAAACTCAAAAGAATCGGTATGCCCACTTACACAACTCACTAAACAATTCCTAAATCCAAACAAAAACATGAAAAATTTGCAGATAAGTACAACAAGAATCAGCTAGTAAGCAAAACCCCAGAACCCACTTCAAATAAATACACACGTGCTCTTACCTCGGAGAAATGCGAAAAAATTGCAAGTGGGAGAGATAAGGGGGAGAGAGAGAGAGAGAGAGAGAGAGAGAGAGAGAGAGAGAGAGATCAAATTTTGTGCGAAGAAGGAGCTGAAAAGACTGTTTATTTAGAGAGAAATGGCATATAAATAATTAACCAGCCGTCATTTAAAAACAAGAAATTGAAGATTTCACCACCACTGTGATAAATTGAAAATGAATGGAAAAAAAAGATGGGATATTCGTTTGGGATAATATTTTAGTTTGGAAATTTCGGAGAAGCCAGAGGTGATGGTAATGTTTGTCGGAAGGAGCATTCAATTTTGCTTTCTTCTTTTTTCGGGTTTTTTTGTAATTTTATTTTTTAATGCTGAATTAGAGGATCTGATACACGAGTTGTACGCGGTGGGAATGGGGGTGGGGTGGGTGGTGGGGGGTGGTGGGGTGGGGGTGGGGGTGGATATCATGGTCATAAAATGAAACATCATCGGACAAATACAAAAGCGACTGCATGTTACCATAGTCAGGAAATACGTACAGACCACAACTTCTGTTATCATCACAACCCCCCACACATGAGAGAGAGAGAGAGAGAGAGATAATAATACATCAATCATCGTTGGCTGAAATAAATTTTTTTTTTTATTTTTTTATTATTTTTTTTAATTGGCCTTTTAATATTACATCAAATATTATATCAATTATCATATGGTATATTATGGTCCTAAAACTATTATTCGAGAGAAAGTGGTTGATATGAGCTCGATTACCCTGAAAACCCGAGTAAAATTAGAATTTATAAATAAAGCCCGAATTCTCACTAAGCTTGCCATTAGTTCCCACTAGTCATAAGCGGCGGATGCGACTACATTCAGCCCAATGACAAAGAAAGACGGAAAATCTCGAACATGACATGAACTGAGGAAAAATCCCACTTAACGGCTCAAAAAGAAGCGACCACGCTCTACGGGATCTCCCAATTGAACTAGGGTCATCTCGCCCCGCAACAGACAATCACAGGTCCAAGCAATCACGTCACTCCCCACGTGTGATATGTCCATATAAATACTGTTTTGAGGTATAATGGAAGACTCCCATTGGAATTCTGATATACGTACATATTTCCTTTATATTCATATGTTATTTTTTCACGGTTCCAACTGATTTGATTGTCGGTGTGCTGACGATGAGAAATTCTTCCCTGGCACGCTTTTTTGCAAAGATCTTACGAGCATGTGGGCTTCTTGTTTGGACTTTTTATAAATTCAGGCCCATTCTAATCCGATTAAGCCATTTGGGCTACGTCAATGTGATACAATTTGTTGACATGGAAGCTTATTTGAATCTTATTCGGCCCAAAATTAATAATATTTATAAATTGTAAATTCAATAAATGGGTAAGTCCAAGTTTTAATTTATTTTACTTTACTTTGGCCCATTTTAACTAATTAAGAGCCAAAGCCCATTTATCTTTTTATAGGTATAATAAAATATAAATACTCCTTATCTATTTCAATGTTTAGAAATAAATTTGATGGATCGAAATCAAAAGTATATATAAACTACATAAATTTATCTATTCAATTTGATGTTAATTTCCAAAAATATTCTGAATTTTTTTTCATTTCTTCAAATAAATTATTTATACAGTTAATAAAATAAAATAACCTTGGGTCTTGGATTTCTATAAAATGAAGTATTTATTATGCAGTAAATAGAAGATTATCTCAATTTATCTGAATAATTTTTATTTATTTATTTATTTATTACTTTTCTCATTAAAAGTCAAGATAATTGGTGCATTAAAATTCTTAAATGTCAGCAAATTTACCAATACTTGTACTATGTAGAAAAAGTGGGATATCTACAAGTCTATACATGCATTTATAGAGTGTATATAGATAATGTACTAATTAATAGACCGAGTGGGATATCAAATGTTTACCAGTGCACTTATATGGTTGAATACTGTTCGTTCATAAAAAAAATAAAAAATATCTGATTTGTTTCCGACATGTGAAAAATGTTTCCAAGAAACGTACATATATAATTAATTTCCTGGAAAAATCTGACTTGTTTTTTTTCAATAGATTTTTTTCATACGTTCACATAGTTGTATATATATGCTTTCTTTGTGCACCAAAACAAATTATGGAGCATCATGACATTTATTTCATTCCACAATATGTCAAAATATAATTGTTGACACCGAAATTTCGAAAAAAAATCACCAATTAATGGCCAAATAAATCGGTTATTAATTGAGTCTCAAATCTAAGTTCATAACATATTTGGGCTTTACAAATAGATTAATCCTTAAATAAGTAATAAATTCTTATTTTACGGATTGTCTAATTGGGCACAAATCTAGTTCAATAAATCAAATGGCAGTATCCAAGTCCATCGGCCCATGCTACAAGTCAAAACCCTAGCTCGTGCCTATAAAAAGAGCCCTTCGGTCCATGCAAAAATCAGGCTCACACAGACACATATCGAGCTCTCAAGCTCAAGTCTCGAGCCACTGCGAATTCATAACATATTTGAATTCGAGGTGTTCGTGATAGGAAATCATTTGTTCGATTCAAGAATAAACTTTTAAGCGCTTGAATCATATTCTAGAATAGGAGTGAAGAATCAGGGAATTTACGGAGATTGTAATCCACTTTCGTTTGATAATAACTTTATTTGTTTTCTATATTTTTCTTGTCTTGTATTTATGTGAATCATATTCTAGAATAGGAGTGAAGAATCAGGGGAATTTACGGAGATTGTAATCCACTTTCGTTTGATAATAAATTTATTTGTTTTCTATATTTTTTTTGTCTTGTATTTATGTTTTACAGATTCGAAAAATTTGTGGTTTACAATAATAATTAATAATTAAAGAAAATGACCCCACACGTCATAGACTATTCTTCTAATTGTACCAATTTAAAATTTAAAAAATACTAGTAACCATGGCCCGTGCGTTGCACGGGGTTAAATTCAAAATAGAGGAAAGTAATTATTTAATAGTTGACATACATCTAATTATTGTTATGAGCTTTATTATTTTATGTTCAATATTTGTCTTAAGGAATATTATTTAGTTAAAGTAATTGGTCCATTAAAAGTTATGAGCGAAAATGTATCAATTAATGAAAAACTATAAGGAGACAATAAAACTTTAAAGATTCATAATATTCGTCTATTATTAAAAGATAATGATTTTGTAAGCAACACCCCCTTTGATTGTGCTACTTATACCATGCAAATAGTTTTACAAAATAATTGATCGAGTTATACATAAAAACGTAAACTGTCAAATCAGTAAATTAAAGAGGAGGATCATGAAACTCTAAAAATTCATACCAATAGTCTATTCATAAAAAACATGTAAATCGAGGGCAAGCCAGGCGCATGTCGGCGTACGCTGACTGCGCTCTTGAAAAAAACTTGGAGAAAATTTTAGACGGGGGGGGG